ATTCTTCGTTAGTTTGAGCATTCATACTTATCTTACTATATCAAAGCTGAATTTGGAAAAAATTGACAGTTGGAGCGCCATATTTTGACTTTTATTGCAATGAATACCTTAATTCAAATGTTTTATTACAAAGTTGAAATGACGTAACCTCATGAATATGGGAAACACTTCCTTAGGAATAAGGTGCAGATTCCGCTTAGTTAAGGTTTACTCTTTTGGAATGCCCCATTATGTAACAAATTTATTGTTTGTTCATAATAATAAATGAAATAAACGAAATTATTTTTCTTTGCATAAAATATAATTTTGGAGATACTAGTTCCTTTCATAAACATCTTCATACAATATAGAATTACACATATTTTAAAGATTCAATGATTAAATATTAGTTTGTTTAAATAAGAAAAAATTCGAGAAATTTTTGTTAATCGCATGTTATGATTTTTTTCATTTATTTTAATTTATCGCACAGATACACTGCTGCTCATTAAAATTTAATTTGATTAAATTAAATTAGTTTAATAATAATAATTTTGGTCCAGCTATTTTATGGCTAATGTTTTTCAGAGCTTAAAGAAAATATTTAAAAAAACTTTGTTAAGCCGTTAAAAAATTTAACCTCATATAAATAGATTAAATTTTTTGTGTCAATTTTTAGTTCAATCTTTTGATAATTTTGCATATAATGTATTTTTTTCGATACTTCTCTGGGGTTGATCCGAGATGGGAGTTTGCATACACTAACTCACCCCATTGACAACGCATAAATCATTTTTTTCGCTGGTTTTGTCAACTTTCTCACATTTTTCGAGAATTTTTCATATTTTTTTAGAATCAATTGATTTCGAATGAATAATTGAAACTAAAAAATAGATCACATGAATTGGGAAAGTCATATAGGAAAGTGTAGATTTAATGAGAATAATGAGAACATTTTTTTATTTTTTGTTGTACTGTTTCAAATTATTTAAATTGGAAGTAATCAAGAGTGACTAACCTTGTGTTGATAAGTTGGCATAAAACAGAAAACGGATTAACATAATCGTGCTGATCAATAATTTGTCCATGTTGGCAGCTAAATTGAAATTATTGAATAATCAATCACAAATAAATTTTTGTCTTCAAAAAAATTTTTATAATTGTAACAACGGTAATTATTTATATATTTTCAATTCTCCGTGCACGCAACGACAGCAGTAATTCGAATTAACGAGATTTTGAGACGTTGAGCGGGGGAGAGAAATGCAGTGAGCAAATGAATGGCAATAAGACGCACATTCCCATACGATGCACGTGTCTGCTATATAAGCTCAAACCTCGTTTACATCTTATCTTCGCCTGACTATGCGCCAACACAAAGCGGTAGAGATAAATAAATACAAGCGATTTCCTCGAGGACAAGACTGAACGACTGACCAACTGAAAAATGGAGAATAATCTTATTGTAGTGATGACACGATATGGCCTATATAAAATGAGGTAAAATGAAATGAAAAAGAGATTAAGTAAGCCTAATGTTCTTGCCCTATGCTAACTGCTCTCTTCAAATTGTTCTTCTATAATTGCGCCTTAGTTTCGTGCATTTGATAGGCCTGCAGTCTTACACACAATAACTTACTTATAAGCATGTACGTACGCGTACGTGATGTTAATGCAACGCCAATTTTGTTCCTGCTGTGCAATTGGAAAGATCAATGATGGAGGAGGGGGTCTGTTGGAGCAACTACAAACACTTCACCGCAGATGATCATTTACTGTCATTTGGCTACAAAACGAATAAAATAAATTTTAAAAAAATATTTACATTTTCATTTTATTTGTCGAAATTTTTTTAACACTTCAATTATTGCTGTAATTAGAAAATAACACACGCAAGTAAATGAAAATTGGAAAATTTTTTAAAAATTATTTTGTAGAATAAGGTTCATATGCGTTGAATTAAAAAAATGTGTCTAATAAATTTGGCCAGTCAATTCATGTCAGAATGTTGTTTTTGAGATTGTAATAAAAACTGTTATAAATGCAATCTGGATATTGAACTAAGCTGAAACACATTAAAGAGGAATTGAACGTTTAAACGAAAAAATCGGAAACATGACAATCCAATTTTAACAATGAAACAACGGCGTCCACATTTAAAATGAAATAAGAGATAAAAATGGAAGAGGAATAAAAAAAAGAAGAAGTAAAAATGGAAGGTGCCAATTTATGTCCGCTACTCAATAGTCACCTTAGCGTCATCAACCTAATGCGAACCATGGACGGTTGGACTTGAAAACCAAATCAGTGGTCGTTAATGAAGTTTATAAGCAAGTAACTTTCGTGAGGTTTCTAACGAGTGTTGTTAGCAGTGATTGGTTATTAGTTTTGTAAAAAGGCAGGTCATTAAGAGTAATTATAACCAAATCAAACTTTTTATCTTATTTCAATTTGACGTTTCAAAGTCTTACTATGGCAAATGTATAAAAAGACAATATTTGTCAAAATGAAATTTGTTAAAATAGTTAAAAAAAATTCAAAAATTTTATTGCAAATAAAAAAATCGTTATAACGCATAGCTTCTGGTAGGTTAATGTTAATAAATAATTGCAATAATTTTAATATAACCCACCACATATTCGCGTCTCATAAAAAATTATTTTTGCCGTTCCAAGCACTTGTCGGCTTGTGCGTAGTCATTCTTCGATATTTTAACACGATTTGAAGCTTCGAGAACCAGGCAGTGCAGTCCTCCTATGATGTAGAGTTTATTTAAAAGTTTAAAAGTACAAATAATAATAAGAACAGGTAAACCATTTTTTTAAATTTTGAGTTTGAATTGAAATGAGAAAAAAGAAGTTTACTTTCAATTTACGATGGAGCGTTATAAATGTCGAGTGGAGTCCGCTTTTTGTTGTCCGTTAATTCTTAAGGCCTTATGGCCATTTATAGATGAGTTTTTTATTCTTTGTTCTCATTACAAAAAGCGATTACTGATAATTTATTTGAGAGAAGTGAATTGATAATCTTTATATTTCTAATTAATATGTAGTTCTAAATTAATTAAATAATATTCAGCAGTCAGCACTTAGGAGCCTATTAAGTGACATTTCACCAGATTTAGAAATAACAAAATCCGATGTTACAATGTTAGCCGTCATAAAACATCCTGTCAGATCAGTTTCTGATAAATAATTGAAATTTTAATAATTTTAGACTTATCAATCCCATATTTTTTCAATAATTCAAAACATTTATTAAATTACTTACGATTAAAAAAATATTTTACTGGCTGAGTGAGCTCATTTAAATTTATCCAATCAACATTTATAACAAATTTTCAAGACCAATGTTAATGTAACAAATTCAATTAACGAAGTACCTGAACATTAAAGCAAACAAATTAATTAAATGTTTAAAAATCATTTTTTTGGACAGCTACTGGTTCTTCGGGCAACCATCAAACATTTCAATAATATCAAATTTTCAAGTCATTTGCATTCATTAATCTTCAAGCATTTTTCATAAGCAACTATTCACACCTGATGTTTTACCGAGGTCTTCTTGTTCATCCAAAATTGGCGAAATAACTGCTCAAAGTGGAACATAATTTTCATTTTTGTTTCATATCAATATAGTGTATATTGTTAAATTTCATTTTTATAAATCAATAAATACAGTTTGTTACATTTTTCAATTTCATATATCTCTGATACTAATAAATATTTTAATATATATTTCAATTTTTAAAACTAATTATTTAATAATAAGAAGGTTGCATTACTTTTAGCATCATGTTAGTTCACTTAATTTTATTTCGATTGAAAAAAATTTTTCATAATAATAATAATAAGCGATTATTACTTTTAAAAGAAAGTTAAGTTAGATCTTTAAATAAGATAAGGTACACGCAGGCATAATGAAGCGACAAAGTTGAACGATCTTCGCTAGATGTATTTCATAGCAGGTTGGCTGCGACTCGCCAAATTCATCGCTGATTGATGGCACGGCAGAAATATTGTGCAATCTGCAAATATCTCTAATTTTTTCGGTGCGTTTAAAATTGTTATACAACATGAAAGAGAAAAAAATTAATAAAATTAACTTCAAACAAAACTCTCCTGCCATGAAATATTTAGCAGATGAAATGCTGACCAATTAATTACGTAATGCAATCTTAACGATACGTTTGGGTTCACTTAATTCATCTTTCTATGTTATTTTTAGCCATATTTCTTTTCTTTTCCAAGCCAGAGGATTTTATTTATTACCAGCGACCTGACCAATGACTTCATCAGCACATCCTTTTTTGGCGTCGTCATGGCAACCATTGAAAATCAACATCCGTAAGAAATAGTTATTGGATTAAGATGCTCTGCCTTTCCAAGCGTTCTCGTAAAATGCGCTGTATTTGTATTTTAACATTTCACAACGTGTGCATGCATTGCGGTTTGTTTTTTGGCGGTTTGACGTGTGCATTCTGCGTTTTTAAATGTCTTTCTCAGTGTTTATGTGTGTTTATCTTTATGTGCGTATATTTGCACGTTGATGCGTGTTTCAATGTGTTTGTGTGTTTTCGTTCATTTCAATGTTTTGATTTTATACATTTAAACAGCGTATCAATGTGTTGTTTCATGTTTCTCTGTTTCTCTGTCTTTTGATGTATTTGTATGGGCTTCAGCGCAAGGAGAATATGCCGCTGCGAAGTTTCAATTCTTCTAAAACGACTTGATTAAATGATGCTGGTAACATGTTTTTTTTTATTAAATTGGGTTTATTTATAAGATTTTAAAGTGACGATTATTCATTTATTTCAATGAGTTTTTGATGTTGTTTATAATTCTGCTTTAAAACTAAGTTACGGTTATTATAGTTTAAATTTTAAAACAGTGCATTGAAATTCCGGAATTCGGTTGGTATGAAACTTAAAATTTATTAAAAGTGTTGACTTTTTCCCAACTCCACCCCCCCAAGCAACGCCTTCAGTGCTACAACTAATAAATGCATGATTTTAAATATAACTAAACTAAATCACACGCCAGAGATCTGTTCTGCAAATATTTTAACAAAAAATTTAAAAACTGTCAAAAGCTGATTTTTAAAATAGGAAATTAACTTTTAGCAAAACCATTTTTTCTGTGTAATTATAAAAATAATAATTATAGCCTCTTGCCAACGAGGTAGCGCTTGATCATTCTAAATTTTAAAAAAATTTCATTAAATTTTACTAATATCAATTATTAAATCTTATTTTTGATAAAAAAAATTATATAAATTGTTAGGAAATTTTTCAAAAAATTGTAAAATTAAATTTAGCAAATATAAAGTGTTAGAAAATTGGTTAATTAAGGACTAAGGTCAACAGAATTTTCAAGTTGGAGTCCAACACATCATCTTCGCGCGTCGAGTGTACAAATAAAGCATTCATTCGTATGCCCATCGTCGACACATGCTGACGTACCATTGAAGTTTACATAGATTGCGCTCAAGTAAAATATTTAATATCTTTGAATACCTACAACATTACAACGACTGGCTAAAGATTAGTTAATTCATCTCGGACAATATTCCCGTGATAGCTCAGTTGGTAGAGCGGAGGACTGTAGTTTGTTAATGTGGCTATCCTTAGGTCGGCGGTTCGACTCCGTCTCGCGGGACTTTTTGCAATTTAGACAATTCAATTATAAAGTATATATATATATATACTTTTTGCAATTTAGACAATTCAATTATAAAGTATATATATATATATATATATATATATTAAATATAATATATATATATATATTAAATATAATATATATATATATTATATCATTAATTCGTTTGCCATATTAAAATTATCGCAATTCATGAATTTTCATCTAAATTACATAAATTATTTTTCTGAAATATGCTTAATCCGGATAAATATCGCGGCCTCAAAAAGCCGGATTATGCAATTTCGACTATTTTTTCAACATCTACAGCGATATTAACAAAATTGTTACTCTAGTCTAGACAACGATATAAAACACGGACCTTAAACTTTTCAAAGGTCCAAGAAAGAATAGTCAAACTTTGTGAAGTTCCACTAAATTCATTAACTAAGCTGGATCCAGCAACAACTAAGGTGTACCTTTAAATTATCAAAAGTTCTTTGTAAATTGTTGATTTTTCATAATTTATTCACAAACTTTTGAAAATATGCTCTATACCTGTGCAGTTTGATGTCCGAGAAATAGTTGTAATAATTTTGGTAACAAAAGTAGGCGCACATACTAAGTCCAGTTCTTTTGGTGATGATGTCGCCAATAATACAATGATAATATATAGTAAATAAATGTACTGGCGATGACGACAATGATGATTATGATGATGGTATGATGACCACAATGATTTCAAATAAAAAATTCGTGATAGCGAAACAGGTAATGACGTGGATGTGATGTTTTCACGATCATGATGAGGACGAATATGACACAATGAAGATGATGAGAATAATGAAGATAATGACAATGAAGATGAGGATGAAAATATGAAGGTGATGAAGATAATGACGACGAATGGGTTGATTATATGAAGGTGATGAAAATAATGACGAAGAATGTGATGACGATGACTTTGGTGATGATGGAGATGATTAGGGCGATAAAGATGATAGAACGAACGAGGAAAATGTTCACGATTAAAATGACGACGAATGGGATGATGATGAAGATGATGATGATGATGAATGTGATGACAATGAACATGATGATGATGATGGATGTGATGGTGAAGAAGGTGATAACAACGAAGATGATGACGACAATGACGAGTGTGATGGTGATGAATGTGTGAGAACGATGAAGAGGATGACATTAAAAATGGTTAAGACGAATACAAGTACAATGATTATGACGATGACGAATACAAGAACAATGAATATGATGATGACGAATACAAGAACAATGAATATGATGATGACGAATATGGAGATGATGAATGTAAGGACAATGAGGGCGATGATGACGAATATGAATATGATGAAGACGATGATGACGAATGAGTTGTAATAGGCAACCAGGGCATTCAAACATAATGCACGTCAACGTCAGCCATTCTGCCATTCTTATCAACGGCACGTTAGCCATCCTTTCAAATTTTCAATGAAGTATCTCAAACATTTATTTCATTTCAAATTTTTAAAAAGCTTTTTTCATTATTTGTATCATATTTAATTTTAATAATTATTTATTTTAGAGAACTGACAAAAATGTCAAATTTTATATTTTGTATCATATCTAATAATTGTTAATTATAAAAAATACCAATTAATATTTTTTGTTACTTATTTCAATAATATTTATATTGGCTAAAAGTAAGATTATAAAAATAAAAGATTTTTATTGAACCGTCGGTGATTTATTTGCAATAAATATTTTACCTACACGTTGAATAATGAAGACTGTTTAACAAAAGTAAAATGTGTTCCCGTGATAGCTCAGTTGGTAGAGCGGAGGACTGTAGTTTGTTAATGTGGCTATCCTTAGGTCGGCGGTTCGACTCCGTCTCGCGGGAAGTTATTTTTATATATTTTATCTTTATTCTAACCAAACACTACAAATTTATTATGCTATATTTTTGTTAATAAAATAACATTGAGTTGCAAAGTAAGGCATATGTTCGTGGTTTGGTTACAACTATAATTTTAGTTTTAAAAGGAGTTCTAATGAAATTTTAAAATTAATTAATTAATTATGCTTGGATACTAATTTTGAAAAAATTTACAATGTATGAAAATAAATATTTGATTTTGTCGATGTTAGTAATTTAGTTACCAAGTTAGTAATTTCAGAAGACACACATCAGAAAACCATGACAAACTGACATACCTCTACAAAAATGGGTGTTACAAATTGTTTATCCTTTTTATCTAACAAAACCTGACGTGACTTTGTATCAACTCGACTCCTGGTAAACGCCAGCATAGACATTGGAGCTTTAAAACTGCGCAGATACAACATCAAGAAGAACAACCTCAGGAAGAAATGGCTCGTTAATCGGTAGTAACAGTGATGACGATGGTCTTGTTATAAATGATAATGGAGCTACAGACGAATCCTTTGAAGAACCATTGAGCGTGCCCTCCAACACACTCAATGAATTAACACGTGCATCTAACTTTGAATACCTGAGCAAAAAATTGGAAGATGAATTGTAGATGGAAAGGAAAGTAAATATGTGGGACTGATGTGATAAATGTTTAAAAACAAGTGAAGGTGTTGAAATAAAATATATTTGTTTCAAAAATATGACTTTCCTCAAATATGACTATTCCCTTTTTTGGTTAGTTAGCTAGCCGAAAGCGCGATTACTGCTTTTGTTAATAAATATTATCTTTCTGATATGATTTCTGTATTAATAAAGCTACTACAATAATTATTCACAGCTGGATTCGCAACTTGTTTGTTTCGCGTACCACAACTTTCTAACAAATTATAAAACTTTTCATCCAATTCTACATGTTATACTAATGAAATGTTTGTTGATGTTCCCATAATTTATGAAGATGATTAAAACTGGCCTCAAATATTTATTGCTGAAACCCTCACATTGAAAACTACTTAGTTAAAGTAAAGGCTGAATTAAACAAAGCCTCCACATAAATTTCAACTTAAAAATGTTTCAGCATCTCACGATATTTAACCACTTTTTTAAAACTGGTTTTAAAAATTGTAAAACAAGAGTCGAATAAGATAAAAAATATAGTAAGTATATGGATTATACCGATATATTCATTTATAAATTTTACTTATATTTAGAATTAATTTTATATTAATCTTTATACCGATATATTCATTTATAAATTTTACTTATATTTATAATTAATTTTATATTAATTTTTTCATATATACAAAATTTTTCAATAATAAATATATCACCAAAACCTTTTCCATTACTGAGTATTAAATCATGATTGTTGTTGATGATAAATTGGTTCATATTTCTCCATCGTGACAAAACGTGATATTAATTCATGGCAGCTCTATCAATTGTGTATTCATGTTAATGTCATATTTCCTTGCCATACTTTTTTAGATTGCGTTTGTAATTTTTTTTAACACACTTATTTCTGGTTTAATTGTTTTTTTAATTATAGTTACTAGCATAATTGTAGTATTAATGAGACTGAAGTTTTCTAAGAAAGTTTTTATTAAAGTGAAATTTTTTAAAACAAAGGCAGTTACATATAAATATTAAAAAAATTTGATGTTGGAAGTTTCATGGCTGCCACTTTTTAAATAAGATAGAATAGAATGTCTGTCTGTGTGTGTGTTTTACTGTCAATCAGTGTGTCTGTATGTGTAGTTGTGTGTCTGTATGTGTAGTTGTGTGTCTGTATGTGTATTTGTGTGTCTGTCTGTGCGTGTAGGCACTTTTACGGATTTAAGTGCACGCTTGCGACGCGTTCGAGTATATATTTTATGTTGATTTGTCGGTTGGCTTAATAAAAACTATTGAAAGATGACTGTTGACTGGTAGATGTTAGATTTTATTTTTTTGTAGTTATTTTTTATAGCCATATACTTACCAGCGAAAACAACTTCCTCTGTAAAACTCTGATCATTATTCAAAGCCTTGCATGCTTCATTATAATTAAGCAAGGTGATGTATTGTCGTAATTTGTTGTCTTTAGTTTGGTCAATCAATTGCTCCGATCCGCTCAATTTGATGTTAATGACTTAATTTTTTATAGCAATTATATTGATGTTTAATATGAAGAACTAATTAATTAATCGTTTTTGAAATTTTTGATGCTTGTTCATTTTAAAGTAAGCCTGCCATACATTATGGAAACAATAAAATAAATATTTGAGTGAAAAAAATGCACCGTGTTTACATAAAACCATTTTTTAATTGAAGAAATTAACTGTTGGAATTAAATAGTAATTATACATGAACAAAATATAATAGGATGCATTAAATAGTCGTAGATTAGTTTATATATAATATATTTTATAACACCGGTAAAAAGCAGTTCTTATAGAAGCCAACGAAATTCATAGGCAATAAGTGAATCATTCTAACATACGCAAGCCTGAGTGGCACACACGCGAATGCATCTCACATTTTAAAACTGCCTGCAATGCAAATGAACAAGTTGATATTTGATATAACACGTGTTCAATTTTCAATCTGATCTTCATCTTCAATAAAAAGGCAATTATTATTTCCATCTAATAACTTTTCTGCTAAATTTAAATATGTAAAAATGAAACACAATCCTACATGCTTTAAGTATAGTGTCAAACATAGGCACACTGTGCCAAAAATTCTATTAACCTAAGGATTTAGAATGAGGTCCAATTAACAATAAAAATAATATCGAAAAGTATGAAAAAATTTGGAGATGATGATAGCCATATTATACAATGTGTATTATGTTCTTGCTTATGAAGTTAAAATATGATGATGAAAATGTGTAATGAATGCCATCGTTGCAATTGTTTACATGCCACTACACACGCAACTGATTGGAAACATGGAGGTAACACGGTATCTAAATAGAAAATTGATTCCTTGTGCCGTTCATACTTTAAATTTCCTTGCAAGGCTTAAGAATTCCTAAGTTAAACAAAATAACTGGAAACATTTTCAAGTGTGGAACTCACGCGTATTCATATTTGTGCATTGTAGCGGTACCTAAACATATTTACATATTTTTACACGTATGTACCCGTTTACATTTGTAAATTTTGTAAATTGTAAATCATGAATGTACGTACAAGTTTACATTCACACACAAACCTTTGTATATATGACTAACATTAATAGATAACTTGTAACTAATAAATAAAAACTAAGTATAAACACATACACTTACATGTTAGTATGTATGCAAAACTTCACATGCATCTGAACGTGTAGTTATGTTAATATGAAATGAATTTCAGCACGCATGTAGTACGTGAGCTAACAAGTAACATTCATCACCAAAGTGCAAGCTTATCTTTTACATGCACGCACATTTTCAATCATCCATCTAACAATTGATACGAACAATCTTTAAAATAGCAAATTTTAACTTTTTGATTTAATGTGTTAATAAACAGTCGTAAGTTAAAAAGCTAGATTAAATCTAAATTAAATTAAAGCTAGATTAAATTAAATTAAATTAAATCTAGATTAGATCTTCATGTTACAACTGTGCAAATACCAAGCTACATGGATACATTCCTATAAACAATGGAGCATTGAAACAGATTCTTAAGATGAGTGTAAACATTAAAGTTGAAGCAATTTTATGGTGTCTGCCAGTTCAAAACTTTTCTGTTCAATTGAGTTCTATGCATGCTTTTTCTCTCTCCCTCTCTCTTTCTCTCTCTCTTTCTCTCCATCTTTTTGTGTGTATATAAAAATATTTGTGTGTTTGTGAACATGTGCTTGTGTGTTTGACGTCACACACATATATAGGGGTAGATATGGATTTAAATTTAAATGATAAAAATGAAAAAATGCAGATGGAAAAAAGAAAAAAGTAGAGAAAATTGAAAAAAATTATGAGACTAAATTTTAAAAGCCGTTTTGAATCGTTGTATTTTATTTGGTCAATAAAAATTAAAGCAAAAAGTTTACAAGCCAATCCTCAGGATCCTCACTTTTTTGAAGGCCTCCAAAAAATGTTTTGACCAGGCAATTGTAATTAAATTACTTTAACTGTTCTAAGTCATTGTTTCAAGTTTGTGTGGCACTATCGTCAAAAACCTATCGTTTTTCGGTAAAATTTGCAACGCTTTTCGCTAAAAATGAAGCAATCTTGTGCCAAGGGTTTGCATAATCGGAGGCCAGTCGTAAGTTAAAACAGTATTTTCAGTAATTGTGACTACGAGAATTCCTAATGTTCTTCCAGTGAAATACTTCTGGTCATTTTTTAATTCCTTCTTGTTTTATATCTATAATTAAGTTTTTAATTAGACAGTCAAGTTTATTATATTACGATTCTGTTACGTAAAAATCTATGTATAATAAAGAACAATGAATAACAATCTTGTACTACCCGCTTTCTTTATTGAACGGACAATTTAGTGAACGTTTCTTAGCGTTTTTTTTTCAAATTTCTATGGAGGTATATTCTTTTGTAAATTCAAATAACAAATAAATGAATTAAAAACAACAATGGCCCAAATTAAGTTTTGTCGCCTGAGTTCTACGTGCCTGAAATTAAAAACTGTTTAAGTTTATCAATTAATCATGCCAGCATTTAAAAAAATATATCTTTTATAATATAATTCCTTTATTTTTATAAAGTATTATAGATGATTAGATGTAAAATAAATTTAAGAAGTGTCTTTTAAGTTATTTTTGTCAGAGATCATATTTAGCACTAACGAACCATATCTAAACTCATAAAATACCCCAACACTCAAATAGTCTTTAGGACCTTGCTTTACAAGTCAAAATTTGGCACTGTCATTGGATCAGAGATGTCTCCGTTTTTGCATCTGGTCATTCGATTTCTGATCGAATTTTTTCAAACGATTGATTAAATCCCTTGCACTGAAGTTATAGTAAATTAGACATTAAATTGAAAGATGCTGAATGAATGATTTCAAATAACCTGTTCCTATATTTTCTTTCTTATATATTATGTTCACATATTAATCAGTCATGCATATATACTAGTAAAGTTTATATAAATGTATATTTATTTATATTCACCTATTTGTAATAAGAACAACTTTGTATATTGTAGCCGCATATATATGAGCTTGTAGACGAGAATATTAAGAGGTTTTCGAATACTTAGATATATTTGTTTCACCGTTTCCTAACAAGATCTGTTTATTAAATTATATTTTTGTAATTAGTTATAATATTTTTTATTGTTAACAGAAGAAAACCGAAGATAAACAATGGTAGGAGTTTATTTCTTTGTTGTAAATTTTTGAAACTGTTGAAAATTATAATTTACTGGGATGATTTCACATATTTGTTCATTCTTCATTATTTATTCATACTTATTGTCCATAGAAGGCTAATAAAAATTTGTTCTTTAATTAACTTTGTAGTCTTGTTTTAGCCTTTCATGAATTTTTACAAAGATGAAAATATTCAAACAACTTTTATGGAATTTGTTAATCTATGCACTGCCAACCATTCTGCCAGTTGAGACATGTTAAATATCATGATGTTTGTTAATAACAATATGAGTTTGACATGAAATTTGTTTTTTCCTTGGCTATTTTGTTCACTATAATTCGCAGCCAAAACATTAAACAAAAGTTGAAAAATAATCATCTTGAGTGTTGGGTGGTGTTTCTATATTTCTATTAAATTAAATAGGTTATATATTCTGTATAAAATGATCCATGTCTGTTATGCAAAAGAGATTTTTATTGTTTATGTTACTAAAAAATGTAAAAAATATTACAACATAATTAAAATAATAATTATTGAAATTATTATTCGATTAGAACATTGAAAACGTGTCTTAGAAACTGCTCGAAAATATTTTTATTTGTCAGTTATTTGTATAAATAAATAAATTAGATAGATAATGGTATATCCCACCTATTAGCACAAATCATATAGGACAAATATGTTCAGACATACAGATACGCATACCCACACACACGCACACACACACACACACACACACACATACATACATACACACCCACACAATATATTCAAAACGTACACACATACTTTACACACGCAGGGTGATTACAAGCAAGCTGAATTGAGCTCGGATGAAGTTGAAGGTATTTCAAAATTTCACATTGTAACACACGCACACACACCACACACATGCATGTTTTTGCTTGCTTACACACAGCCACACACCCACACATACGTGTTTTCATTGTCGATGATTCTTCTGTTTCTAAATTTACTTGTAAGAAGGATTCCAATTGCCAGTTGTAGAATATTTATTATCGGATGTCTTTGTTCTATGAATATTGATTCGGCTAGTCGTAAATTAAAATGGTTGTTATTGTAATGTAAGATTTCAACATTGTGGTCCAAGATTTTTTTAGTAATTTTATTTTTGTGTTTCTCTTTCATGTGATTCTTTGTAGCGCCAGTTTGTACGTGCATCGTGAGTCTTCTCGATAACTTGGTCGTCGTCATACCAATATATTCGGAACTATAGTGCCCACACTCACCAATATTACATTTGAACAAATCTTGGACCAAAATGTGGAAATCTTACATTGCAATAACAACTATTATAATTTACAATATAAAGACAGTTAAACCTTTAAAACACAAAACTATACATACAAGTACAATTACATAGTCACATTCTTGTATAGCGTTGTTTGATTTTACACGGAAGACATTTGAAACAGTTCAACTGACAGAAACAATGCAAGAATACTAAATTCCTACTTCACCAATACCAAAATCAATACTTGAATACTTCTATTGACATTAATCTACTCAGTAATAGGCATTTTGTTTTTTAAGCTTGCAACAACTGTAATGAATTTTAAACTGTAATATGAATCAACCGTTCTATTATCTTAAGCAACTGCCCTTCAACGAATATTTAACTTTTTGTGTGATCGCCACCGGATTTACCAAATAATTTTTTAAAACGAACCATTTACCAGATGTCAAAGAAGTTTTTGATTTGTTTGATTTCTGGGATGGACGAGATGGAATGGTTGATGGCGCCAAGTTAGGTGACTTCCTGAGATGCTGTGGACTCAATCCGACACAAGCCATGATCATGGAGAATGGGGGCACCAAACAATTTGGTCTTTCTTTATTTTATCATTTATATTTTAAATGTTTTTTAAATTAATAAAACGCATCTTAAAGAATTTTACAGAAGCAATCTATTGATATCTGGTACTCTAACTCATTCGACATCATGGCAGGGATATATTAATAATATTAAAAGTTGACCAAGATTAGTGAATATTCAAATCAAATCAAACAGTTTATTAATTTAATCTACTAATCAACACGATACGAACATTCTATTTAACTGCTTAGATTCAATGTCTAATTGGAGAGGTAGTTAATCGATAAATTAAACCAAGTAAAATGTATTAAGTCAAAATAAGAATGATGCTAGCATGCAAACAGATAAAATGGTCATATTTAATTTAACTTTTTTATTATTTTGCAATAATGAAACAATATTAACGTACAAGTGAGCATGAAAAGCCATTCTCACTTCAAAATCTATCTACCGCTAATTCGTGACTTACTGCCTATACAACTTCCTATAAAATATAATTTTACTGAAATCTCGAACAGTGAATATATACATTTATCAGGTGAAAAGTTGTACAAGTTCGACGAGATAATTCCCATTTACAAGAAACTCCAAACGACCACTGACATAGGCACATACGCTGACTTCATGGAAGCCTTCAAAACCTTCGACAGGGAAGGTCAAGGTTACGTGAGAGCGGCAGAGTTGAGGCAGGTTCTCTGTTATCTCGGTACATCTTTTTCAAATATTTTTAATGATTCATGTTTACTCTCATTCATTAAGCATATGAAATATCTGTTACTAATTATATGATTTGGCTAGACTTTTGATATGTAGTTAAAATTTTGAGTTCGTTGAACGACTAGCGAAAGTAAATCAAGATAAGTTACTTAGTTACTCTTTTGTTTAAATTTTTGAAAATGAGTGTTTTTAATTGTCCAACAAACTTCATGGTCAATTAATATGTTGTTCAGCTGGTTGGGCAAACGCGCTCAACTTATGAATAAGCATATTTAAAACGTTCAACGGTTTCAAATGTTATTTTGGAATTATAAAACTTTCTTTCGCCAGGGGAGAAAATGTCGGACGACGATGTTGACAGGATTTTGAATTATACAGGAACCGAGGAAGACCTGGATGGAAACATTAAATACGAAGGTGGTTTGTAGTTGCTGCTGATTGTGGCTGTCGCTAGTGGTAGTTGTTAGTGATTGTGGTTAGTGGCTGGTTGATTGGTTTTGGCTGATAGAAATGGGTTGAAACTGTTTGAAAGCTGTTAGTTTATTATTCGTTATTTGTTAGTTTATTGTGACTGAAAATATGAGAATAAGAACAATCAGATGGTTAATCAAAGTCATAAATGATTATATTTTAATGATTCTTGATTAATTCAATCGAGAAATTTGTTCAATTTGTCACGGTAAATATTATTTTGGTTTCAATGCAAAACTTTAGCTTTAAATTTCACATAAATGAAATAATTCATTTTATATTCAATCACAAAATTTTTCAGAATTCATCAAGAAGGTTTTGGCTGGTCCACGAAAAAAATAAATTTTTTATTTGTCGGCTCAGTTCTTATCCACATTTGGCTGTTTTTTAATTATTTTGTATTTCATTAAAGAAACAGCTGGGAATCATGTAGTTAAATCTGTCTCTACATATACGTGCAAGAAACATTGAAGCTTTAGAACGAATATGTGAATGCAATTGTTAACAAATTTTGAGCAAGATCAAATGCCTGACCCGATATAGTGACTCTTAGTGCATTAAAACTGGTCAAAGTTTTAGAACTACTGAATATATCGGCTCTAGCATGTATAAGTTGTAAGAAAGTAACGAATGATAAGTTTATTATATATTTTAGTAAAATCTAACAACTTGATAAAACGTAGAAAAAGACTTTTGACTAGTGTGAATTAACATTAATCACTATGGATCAGCGTCTGGTATTGAAAGAGTTTCAGTGTTTGTTAACATTAGGGTCGATGAAGAATGAAAATTTTTTGTTATACCGGAACGTTCGAACATTTATTTATGCATTTTAAAATTTTTAAGACCAATTTCTTTTACTTTTCGCACGCATATTAACATTTCACTTTAACTGTTTTTATTTTTTAAACTAAAATCACTAAATTATCTTCTCATAAAAATGAAAATTTGTAAAATTATAATTGGCGATAAAAATTAATTATCACCACTTGTAGAGTTTATTTCAAAAAGACATAACTCATTTACTGATTCAAATTTGGTTTACTCGACACATTTGGTTAAATGATTGTGTTAAATATAATTCATTTCTTTGTGCAAGTGCAATTAAATGTAATTTTTATTACACACAATGGGAATCTATCAGATAAACAATTATTTTTTGTTAACGAGAGAGTTTGATCAACTCTATTTGTTTTGAGATATATTTAAGTTTCTCACTGAATTGAAATTTTTTGTTCTGTGCGAAACATGTTTGGATAGCACAGCATAGCACATATGTATGTGTGTGTCACAACAAAATTATGCAACATCGTGTTTCGAGACATGTATGGGGCCAATCAACAAAGCATCAAGCACTCTGCTTGATACATCTGCAATTACATGTACTACAGTACAGTTCACCCTGTTGTTTCAACCATTCATCCATGTTCGTGGCATCCATCACAAACAGGCTGACATTCATGTTTTCAACTGTAATGATTACATCAAAATTTTTTTGCAATAATACAATACATATTGTGTAAAGATCTGTAATGCACATTAACAACATGCCAACTATTGTTACCTAACAAACCTATTTTTTTCATTTTGTGTCTATAGGTGGTGCTCTAAGTATAAAATGCCGCAAAACATTCATTGCTTATTAATTTTGATTTTTCTTTACTCTTCAGTTTAATAATTTCAGTTTTTTCAAAGGACAAAACCGTTTTTACACTTGACAGCATGGAAGCACATCATTGTTAAATAATTTAAATATTTTAACGGCAAATACGATGAAAAACAAGCAATAAGATAGTATTTTGAACTACAAATAAAATTCAACATTAATGAGTTTAATAAACACTAATTATGATCAATAACATTAAAACATCAGTGCCGTCAACGACATCAAAAATTCAATCACTCATTCACTCACTCATTTCATTTATTCATTCATTTACTCATTCATACTTGGTAGAATCATCATCCACAACAACAACAACACAACAACAACAAAATTAACAGTAGCCACAACAACCAACAACAGCGCAAATAACCGGTCATAAACGCACGTAAGAATAAAATAATTGTCTTTTATTGTGGCAGCAGAAGTGAACACACAGGCAGGCGCGCGTATGCAGCCATATAGCAAATGGGTGTTGATGCTTTTACTACCGACGATGAAGGCTGTTGTTTCGTTGAAAATTGAACCAAATTATCTTAAAGTTTTGATGTTATAGTTTTGTAGTAATGTTAATGCTGCGACTTAATGACGTTGTTGATGTTATCTGCTTTTGATGTTATTTTTTAAGTTAATGATGTTAATGTTATTTGCTTGTTGTATCGTAAATTAATAAAAATTACCCTCCTTGTTGAATGTGCTGATGTTTGGAGTTTCATAATTCACACTTTATATAATGCCAGCTGTTGACAAAAAAACATAAATTGAGAAATTCTTCCAACTCCTAAGAATTTATTCATAATAAATTATGGCGAGTGAGGTAACATTATGCAATCTTTGAATTATCAAATAAATAGATTTATATTTGAGGCACAATTTTCAACTGTTGCAATTAAACTGTCCAAAATTTAAAAAATTGACCATGGAATATTTCATTACCTTTCCTAAGAGATTCCATATAATTAGAAACATTGACAACTGCTGCACTAGATTATAAACAGTTTGCAGTACTAGCATTAAATCCAGTGTTGAAGTCGTTGTCGGAGAATTTTATCTGAGTTGGAGTCGGAATTTTTAGATGGGCTAGAATCTAAATCGAACTCCGACATCTTAATTAAAACTCTCCAAATATGTTTTTTTGATATGATGAGGATGTGAGGATAAGTTGGCACAATAAAGTGAAATAGAAATTCTTATTTGGGCAAATGAGTGACTGATTGTATTAATTGAAAAATTTACATCCAGGCTATCTTCATAATTTTTTAAATAATTTTTTAAAACATCACCAGCGTCATCGCCATCATCATCATCATCATCATCATCCATTTCATTTTCCTTTACTTAATGATCGTTATCATCACCAGAGTTATTTTTTGTGTAGGTTTGTTTGTGCAGTTGTTTTTATTGGCAAGTTCGGTGCAACAGTTGCGGTACATTCACTCATTCATATTTACATTCACTCTTTCATTCATTCACTCACTCATTCATACATTCAGTCACTCATTTGCCCAATCGCTCACTCACACACATTCAAACATTTATTCGTTCACTCATTCATACTCATTTACTCACTCAATCAATCATTTACTCATACACATATTTTTAACGTTACACTTAAATGATTCAAGAATGCACAACAAACGAACAAGGCTAATTCAACCACTCTTCAGATCACAATTTTCCAAATTAAATGTTTTTAAATATTCACAAACAATAAACATTGAATTAATGCAATTTAAAAAAGATAACCGATCAGAATAACCAAATTTTTTGTGTTTATTAGTTAGAGTATGCTTTATGCTTAAAATTTGAATAGTTTTAAGATAAATGTTTTTGTAATTTTGCGGGGTTAGACTGGGGCTGGCAAGACTTTCTGTGAAGAGTGTTTGGATTATCAGGAAAAAGTTGGGAAAATTTTTAGTTTTTTCACAGTTTTTCATGATTTCTATAGTGAAATTGCATTTTTTGTTTCAAATTCGGTAAAACAAGGCTCTAGACAAGAAGCTGCAACAATTTGAAGAAAAAGTATTTCAAATTTACTTGAAGATTTTATAAAATTTAAACATTAACTTTCAAAAAATGTTTATTTTCAAAAAAGAGATTAAATACTAAAAAAACGATATTTTAGTTTTTAACAAAAACTCCATGAAAAATAAAAGTTACAGGGTAAAATTTTTGAAAATTCAACAAATTTGGCCACCCAAAGTCTGGTCAGTTCTATAGTTGAGCTTTTGTAATTTTGTAAAGTATTTTTTTTTAAATTTATGTAACAACTTTTAAAAAATGACTACTTTTATATAGTATATATAGTAGACTACTATTTGTTGTTTGTTAGAAAAATTTTTATTATTTTTATTTATATCATTAGTATTTTTTTGCTATTATTCACGGTTGTTAATAATGTTCCCAAGATTCTTAGCAGGCATGTCCTAATCTCTTAACAAACAAAAAAACAAACAAACGAACGAACGAACAAACGAACAAAAGAACGAACGAACGAACGAACGAACGTCTCAGATAATTAAATTGACTCATCGCAACATTCAACAGATTGTAAAGTCACGTCATCCAATCAGCCCCTCTGACACTTTCTCTCATTCAAATTTAAAGTCGGCAGTAAAATAAATATTTACACTCATCAAAATGGATGTTAAGCACTTATTAAATAGGGAGCACCATCAACATTGCTAATTAATAACACTAAAGTTATCCTACAAATTCATATACACGCCCGTAAGAATATCTTCTTACGTAGGTACACACATACATGATGTATACAACATATATATATATATATATATATATATATATATATATATATATATACGCATGTATACATACATACATTCATACATACATGCATACATATAGATACGTACGTACGTGGGAATGAAATATCATTCACAAACTCATCTCATCAACGTTTACTTACTCAGCACACACTACGCAGTACCAGTACATTGCAAACACATCCATAGTAACATACATAAGTATCACACACACACACGCACACATGTATATGTATGTGTGTGTAGTAGTTTGGTAGCATATATACACATACAATCACATACGCACACAAGCACAAAGCCGCACGCACATTTACACGCATCAAACCATCATTAAGAGCACGTGAAAGCACCATCACGATGCATATTTTTCTTCAAGTCAAAAAATTTTTCTCTAGTGAACTCGTGGAAAAGTTTTGTTGGAAAATATTATTTTTAGCGATAAGGATGCATGTGTGGTCCGCCGATACACGAAACATTATCCGCTCATATCTACTGATGAGTGCGTTGGTTGATGTGTTGTTGTTGTTGATGTTGTTGTTGTTGATGATGTTGTTGTTTTTGTTGATGATGATGATGTTGTTGTTGTTGCTGTTGATAATGTTATTTTGTTGTTATTGTTTGGTTGTTGATGTTGTTGTTGTTGATGTTGTTGTTGTTGCTGTTCATGTTGTTTAGTAGATGTTGTTGTTGTTGCTGCTGCTGTTGATGTTAATGTTATATTGTTGTTGTTGATGTGATTGTTGTTGTTGATGTTGTTGTTGATGTGGTTGTTGTTGATGTTGATGTGGTTGTTAATGTTAGTGTTAATGATGTTGTGCTGTTGTCATTGTTGATGATGATGTTGTTGTTGATAATGATGTTGCTGTCGATAATGATGTTGTTGTTGCTGTTGT